ACCCTGCGCTGGGAGGGGAGTGGGGGGTGGTGGTTAGGGCAGGGGGGGCTGGGAGCCGGGACTCCTGGGTTCTCTCCCCGGCTCTGGGAGGGGAGTGGGGGGTGGTGGTTAGGGCAGAGGGGGCTGGAGCCAGGACTCCTGGGTTCTCTCCCTGGCTGCAGGAGGGGAGTGGGGCTGGGGGTCACTGACAGCAGCAGGGGGGGCTGTGGGGGTGGGGGCACCGCAGGCCTCTGCACTCGAAATCGGATCCCCATTTGCGGGGGCAGCTGGGGCCTTGGGGACCAGGCTGGATTCAAGATCCCCCTGGCAGCCAGCCACGGCCGCAGCAAGATGGGGACCAGCTGTGAGCGGCCCAGGGCTGGCGTGGGCAGCAGGCACGGGGCTTGCAGGCCTGAGTCACAGCTGTGGGGCGAGGCGGGGGTCAGAGACCCCCAAACCACAGCTCCGACCCACCCCACATCTGTACACAGCCCCGCCCTCGCCCCCACAGTGCAGCAGACAGAAGGGGGCCCTGTGCCTCCTATTTCTCAGTGGGCCCATGGGGGAGCCAGTCCCCAGGGCTCTCTGGGGGGCAGTGTGGAAGGGAGGGGTCCTGCCCCTCTGACTCCCACCCCCTGGAATAAGGCTGGAGATGGGGGGCCCCCGGGGTCAGAGCCGGGGCAGGGTGACTGGGAATTTGAGGGTTCCAGGGGCCGGCTCTAACTCAGGAGCTGGGGGGACAAGACCCGGGGGCAGCCTGGGGCATGGAGCTGCCCCCCTCAGCTGCCCCCACCCCATAACAAACCTGGTGCTCCCCATTCTCTCAGTCTGGCAGACCCCCCCCCCACGCCTGCCCCTTGCTCCTGCCCCCCCAACCAGAACTGTGATGGATCCAGGGGGGGTGGGGTGGCAAATGGTCAGCGCAGAGCTGGTCAGGGCGACTCTAAGTAAGATCCCACCAGAGGGAGAGGGAGAGAACCCAGGAGTCCTGCTCCCAGCCCCCCCCGCGTTCTAACCCACCAGCCCCCAGTCCCCTCCTAGAGCTGGGGAGAGAACCCAGGAGTCCTGGCTCCCAGTCCCCCCTCGCTCTAACCCACCCACGCCCCCACCCTCCCCTCCCCACGAGCCGGGACGGAGAACCCAACGGAGGTCCTCGGC